GMWYGMMCGAAAGTAGCCATGGGTTTCGCTTGGTGAAATGAAATAACAATGTTTTGWACTGTAAGATGGTCTGTGGTAAAAATTGGCTCCATTTAGTCTCCATWACTMTGTAARGTGAATCCAATARGTGAAATTTTGTTTATCAAAACAGTGTAACCATATTCCCTTTCGGTCGTGCAATCTCCYTTCGACAATCGCCGTTYGCTGTTCTCCCCGACAACGTTTTTTGAAATAGCTGTATGTATAAAGCTAACTATTGGTGTTCTTTGCATGACTTAAGTAGTTGTAGTGAGTTGAGGCTTGATTTACACGACGCAATTCGTGTTGTAAGTATGAAGCGCACAACTTGTTTAGATATTGTTTGAATTATAGGAAGATTCATGTTCTAGTTTTTTAGATACATATCAGATCAGAAATCGCTAGTTTTCGTTCTAGCTAACACGTTGTTTCGTTTTGAAAATTTGTGGAATCTAAGGCAAGCTTGATCCATTTTACAAGCTCGTAGTCTTATAAAAGTCCATTATAATTGTATTTTGTAGTTAAAAAAAGAAGTATCAACTGGCGGTCAGCCATTACGGTTGTCTATAAATACACACCAGGCGGCGATTCCCAGGGGAGCAGGGGCCAAGGAACCTATTGTGATGGTTGATCATTCCTCCCGTGGGGGTCTGACGCGGGGCGTCCTGTTTCCCTGCCTACAGTAAACATATCCATCTTAAAGATTCAGAAAAGGAATTTTTATCCACGGCWTGGGTTCTTTAGAGCTTTGATTTAGCTGTAGTCAAAGACATTTTTCTGTATCTGTTGACTTATAGACTCATAATAAAGTTCTCGAACGTTTCCTTTGATAAAATGTTTGTATTGTCTAAACTGCATTTTTACATCCATGTTAATTACTCTCATATGCCTGATTACAGTTTGCAATAAAACCCAAAGCTCAGCTACGTTTTTAGTCTTTATTTCTTTGCCTTTACATGATAAAGAACGAAAATGTGGAACGTTCGAGTGTAATATTTTAGTTTCAGAGGTCTTAACTTGTGTTCCGTTGAATCCCGGGAAATCTTTGGCAACAACTAGTATCTGCCTGTCTGTAAAACATTTACGTCAAGAATTTCAAAAGATGTAATGTCTGTCTGATATAAGAGCTGTACACCTAATTTTCCTGTGATGACTTTGGAAAACAGTGACGACAATTGAACAACTTGGTGAAATCCGTCACATTCCATCGAGTACATTGGTATTCGGCCGCAAACCATCAACACCCATCCCCACCCCCATCAAATAAAAACTTCACAGAAGAATGATTATGTTACAAACACAACAAGGGGCCGTTTTGCATGAGCATGCGCGCAACCGCTGCGTTATAACGACCATGGGCTCTAGAATACGGGTAGAATAACATTGTAGTCAGCTTCGATTCTGAACATAATTGATGTTTTTACTTATCTTCCACATTTTTCCAAACAAAACCAAGTAGATATATTTACAATGCACACGAATATCTTTCAAAGTTTATATAAATTACTGTGAGTCTCGGGCTGGATTTATAACACGAAGCCACTTTGTACCGTTAAAATGTAGTGAATTATTTGGGCACACCTATAGCAATAATAAATTCCTAAGATGTGAATCGATTGCACTGCAATAGTTTATTTCATAACTTATAATGATACAGCTATAAAACTACACATAGATATTTATGATAACTTGATTCAAACAAGCTCAACTCTTCAGCCAAAAGAATGCTAAATTTGTCGTGAGTGCTCAACAGCACTTAAGAATTTGAAGAATTAACACCGTTCCACATTTTTCATAGACAAGAAAACATTATCAAACCATTTGCAAAGCATAAGTCTTGATATTGGWAGCCTTATTCTAATGAGTCCTGGTGGTATATAAAAGGAAAGTAGTATTTCATGTAACAGTTAATAATATTTAAGCGTAAATATTGTACACTGTCTTTCGAACTTTTCGAGGTCGATGTTACTAAACAACGCCTAATTATATTACTCCACGTGTACATTTACCATTTACTTCATGACCTGCGTTGAATCTTGACCAGCACTCAGCAAAAACTGGAATAGTAGTTGCGTATATAAACCACTGCAGCCTCCGATATTGTAAACACAAAGTCATTAATATCAACATTTGTTAAATAAGATTTTAAACGGTTCCAATCAGTCCAATAACGCCAGTGTTTTTCCTCGTTGTAGGTTACACTATTTATGAGTGTTCTTGAGTCATGACAGAACATTTCAGGGTCAAAAACAGCCAAAAACATTTTTGGAAATTGTCCTTTCGTGTCGTTGTAATTTCTCGCTTGAAGTGAATCACTAATGAATTTCAATGAATTTTCAACAGACTGGCGCATGCGCACGCCAAACGGCCCCTTGTTTACAAACACTGTATCGTTTGCTAATTCCTGAGCAGAACTCTGATTGGCTCGCTGTTCCCTAAGGATTTTGGTGACGTCATATATTAGCATAGAACTTCGCCGAATAGACTACCCCCATTAGATGTTAGATATCTATAAGTGTCTTCATAGTACGATGGTCTAAGAGGGTAGCTAAAGGTATGCTCTAGTGGGCGGCTACCCCCTCACTCCCTGGCCTTTTGGTTAAGACTAAGTTTTATGTTCACTCGGGATAGCGTGGAAGAGCCGAAATCTCTAACCGTAACGTAAGCCGATTCGACGCCTCAGCTTCATAGAATGTCTCGGGGGAATCGTCCCATCTTTTTAGTTTTTTATTTTCATTATTTCTTATGTATGCCCAGGGGGGTGACATCTTCCCCTAAAGTTGAAGTTCTGAGTTCGAGCCCAGCTGCTGGAACTTCTCTTTTTTTGCTTGTTTATTGTTTCTTTTTCGTTTGTTTTCTTTTCTTTTCTTTCTTTTTATGTCCCTTTCTTTCGTTTTATTCTTTTTCTTTGCTGTTGTTACTTYGTTTGTTTTTCTCTAGAAATTTTCTCTTTCCAACTTAAACATATCAAGAACCAGGAGCCTTCCTGCAATAATTCGCAAGGAACGCCTGCTACAAGTGGATGGTTACGGTTCGGTCTAAATACGATGAATAGTGACGAGAGACCCCATAAAGCTTTTCGTCACAAAACGGCTCGTGAAAAGTAATAAAATAAATATATTTACAGGAAAAAATAGACATGACTAGAACAACTATATTTCAGTTGCAAAGAAAGAACGAAACTCCTGAGTTCGCTAAACTGGCGACGTGGAAAAATAAATAAATATCAATGAAAATAAAGTCGCTGCATTTTACATGTAAGACCGTGCCGCAAACATCGGTCTGATTACGGTAATTAACATGAATAATCAAATGTTCTCTATCAGGCGTAGTAGTTTCATAGGCTAAGATAGCGAAACAATCAGAGCGCGCAATTTTGTATTATCACCATAAATATTCTTATATTCAGCAGAGATCCTTGTGCAATGCAAGTACAAAGAATTAAGACAATACTTTTTTATTTAATTTCAAAAATCTTGACTGAAGCTTGCACCGTATGATAAATTCGAAACCGGAGTTAAAAGTGAAAGTAGCCTAGCAATAATTATTGTACCTTACTGGTATGGAGCTCGATTAATATTCAGAAAAACAGTCCACGTTGATCTGCCACCTCACAGCAAAATCTAAACCAAAAAATTTGAATAGAATAATCAAACTAAAAAGCAAGAAAACGGAAAAGAAACTATGAAAAATGGCCCAGACAAGCTAAAGAATGGCAGAAGCGGTAGGTATCATGATAGAGACCATCGCTTAATTTCTCCAAGATCAGATTATAGCCCACTTTTTATATTTTAAGTCTGTACATTTTCACAATAAATTTTACGAAATGATTAAGAAAAAGCGTTATTCCTTGTTGAAACGTTAAATACATGCCTGTGTTATCATGACACTACTCTAAATCATACATTTGAACTACTATTCAACGAATAATGATCATGCTGAGTTATAATTCCATCAAATTCTCACAAAATATCCCTTTAATGGGAACTGGGATTTTCAGTGCTACGGTGAACGTTAGCACGAGTGTACGTATGTATATTGACCGTGTCCCGCGAGGTGCACGATCATAACRCAGGAAACTATCAATATCCTCAGTTGCACTGGAAAAAATCGCGCGCTCTAAAGGTTGTAACTTTGATGTAAATATGATGTAAGTGTCCAAAATTCTGTAAATTTGATGTCAATGATTTCCATTAGATTTACAGAATTTTGGACACTTACATCATATTTACATCAAATTTACAACCTTCAAAGCGCGCGATTTTTTCCAGTGTTGAAGCATGATAATAATTATTATAATATTAATCATCATCATTATCATCACAAGCATATGATATTTACTTCTGTACAATAAAAAGCTATTTGAAAATTAATACAACTTTAAGAGAATATAAAATGTATTAAAACTAGTATAATAAAATAATTTTTTTTTATTTTTTTATATTTTTCCCTTCGCGGGTGTATTTTGCGCCTGCGTTGGTATAGGTCAGTGAGACTTCTCATGAAAACATTCAGAACAACATGGCGGTCAAGTTGAATCCGTTTGTCAGAGGTAAATTCCATCTTTTTCTCTTTCTTTCTGCTAGATATTGTTTGAATTATAGGAAGATTAATGTTCTAGTTTTCTAGATACACATCAGATCAGAAATCGCAAGTTTTCGTTCTAGCTAACACGTTGTTTCGTTTTGAAAATTTGTGGAATCTAACGCGAGCTTGATCCATTTTACAAGCTCCTACTAGTCTTATACAAGTCCATTATAATTGAGATTATCAATACCTTTGCTCTCAAACGTGAACACGTTATTGTATATTATATCCTCGTGTGAGAACTTGGAAATCCACGAGTATCAAATATTTGTGCTCAGATGTTTATACAGGTGACAACTCGTTTTGCCTGATTCTAGAGGTTTTCCTCCCTCCCTCCCCTCTCCCCCACCCCGTAACCACCCCCCCCTCCCCCGTCCTCGCACCTTGACCCAGTTAAGGACCTCAACTACTTGTTCCTGCTATTGATGCATCCCTTCACAATTGGCAATAGCAAAGTACATTTTTAACTGCTTTTCAAAGCATCCAGAAAGCAAACAAGATATTAAATATAGTTCATAATTACCATAACAATTATTTGCATGATGGCAATCTATACTAGGTACAAAGCACCAAATAAATGTTCTGTTCTGATCAGTTCCTCAACTTCTCTAGTTCTTTGCCCCTAAAGAATTTCAAAGTGGTCTGAATCATTGAGGAAAACAACCTGGAAACCATCCCAAAATCCCTGTAGAAAMCATCCTAACCTCTAAAGAATATCAACCCCAGAAGAACCTGGGTCCTTTAGAGGGAGGTGGGCAGGAAACACAAGTCCTACTTTAGCATAATTAAGAAATTTAATGATGAAGTATGTTGGTGAATTTATAAAAAAACAACAGCTTAAAGTTATCAAAAATGAACTTACAAGTCTGTGTCCATGACAATGAATTGATGTAATGCACTATAGCAGACATCATCAACAACCATCAAGTTAAAATATTGCCACACAATTAATTGCAGCCATTCATTGGAAACACTTATTCAAAAAAACTTTGTCTGGGAGAAAGGCGAAAGTCAATAATCGAAGGGAGATTGAATGACCAAAAGAGACTATTGTTAGACTTTTTGGACAAACAAAATTTCACCTTTCATAGAAATGGAGACTAAATGGAGCCAATGTTTACCACAGAACAGTATAAATCAGTTGTTATTTYTCATCAATTAGGCTAATTTCAGTCGTGCAATAGCCGTTCAACAGTTRACTTTTTGAAATATAAAAGTACACTACATGGTGCCATTTTTCACTGTTTGGATAGTTTGTTTTGTTGATTTTGTTGATTTTATAATATTTGATGTTGTCGTATTTTATTTACAGCTGGTTCTGTGAATATTCCATTAAAGTATGTGTGTCTTGGTGTTCTGGTGTTGCAGACTTCTGTGCTGGTCTTGACCATGAGGTATTTATTATCAATATTGAATTTACAGGGCAAAAATCTGGTCAACAGCTATGATACTTATTTAAGTATTCTGAATATTGTATAGTTAATAGGTGCTATTAGCCATCATATATTGGTGGTCAGCAGCAGTAATACTCCAGTTTCGAATTCATATTACAGGCATATCAGAATTATGCACCAAAAAAATCAAAATTATGCAGAATTTTTTCGCCATATTATGCGGAGAAAAGGGTAAATTATGCAGAAAATTATGCAGGATGACATGCAGAGAACTGCTAGATAAAATAAGAGACAGTGAAAATTGCCAGTACCAATAAATCAAGCAATATTTCACAGATATCTGTCCTCCCCCCCCCCCTTGTTTTTCACTTGCTCTTTTGCTGACAATTGCACTACTTGCTACTTGAACATTAGGGAAAGATCTCAAAGATTGTGAAAATTTTGACACAATTTTATTCTCTCTGACACCAGATTGCTTGAATATGTACGTTTTATTTGATATACAGTCACTCTGATCTCCTCTGGCAACTATAATCCCTAGTCAAAACAACAGAATGTTTAATGTAATGTCATTATTAAATGAAATACTGGTATGGCAATTGAGTTTGCTAGACAAAGAAAATTAACAGAAAATGCAACATCAGAGCTGCAGCAGTAGATTTGTTATGTAGTGACTGAGGTGACCAGGTTGACCAACACTAGTGTTTGCTTTGGTGGTTGTTCTGACTTGTGTTCAGACTTGATTTTATTTGTTCTCATAATGTAAAAGATTAACAATGAATATTATTGACCAGACTCGCACAGTTTTATTCTTGAATGACATAGTTGTTTCTTGTTTTTTTAATTTGCAATACTAGGTATTCAAGAATGGTTCATGAGGGACCTATGTATATATCTTCTACAGCAGTAGTAATGGCAGAGTTGTTCAAAGTCATAGCTTGCGTCTTTGTAATATTTCATCACTGTGGTTATCGATGGAGGGCATTTGTAAATGAACTTAACAATGACATTATGCAGAAACCATTAGAGACTTTCAAACTTGCCGTCCCATCAGGATTGTACACTTTACAGAATAATGTATTATATATTGCGCTATCTAATCTGGATGCGGCGACATACCAGGTATGGTCATGAAAGAATAAATGAATGAATAAACCTTTATTTATTATAAAGCTCAGGGTAGTCAATCAGGCATGTGTACATGTGTATCTGTTATCAGTGAGAGCCCTGAACAAAATAAAGCTATAAAATACAATATAAAAATCTGTCATATAATTATAATTAATTATATTTAATTATGATTATAATCATGTGTTATATATTGATAATATTTTGTAGTTTAATTAACAATTAGACCTTGAGGTCAAGTGGACTACGAGCTAATAGCCCATAAGGCCGAGTCGGCGAGGCCAAATGGGCTATAAGCTCATAGTCTACGAGGCCGAGAAGTCTAATTGTTTTAGTATAAACATACTAATCGGTCAAATAATGAAAACAAATTGAAATATCCTTAAAATAATTTATTAATGAGATTGATTTTCCTGCGAGTGGTCTATCACAAATTAGACCATTAGTAGAGTAGCCAATCACAGCGCAGTATGAGTAATAAACCATTAGTATGTTTATACTAATTGTTGATATCACATCATTAATAACTTTCTATCCAATTATAGGTTACTTATCAACTGAAGATTCTCACTACAGCCTTGTTTTCTGTTGCAATGTTAAATCGTAAACTAAATGCATACAAATGGTTTGCTCTGGTACTCCTAATGGCTGGAGTTGCTCTTGTAGAGGTATGTATCATTGTAACTATGTACTGTATGTACAGTGTACCATGTGTACATATTACTATGTGTATACCCTCTGATATTTAACAATTAGACCTCAAGGGCGAGTGAATTACGAGCTGATAGCCCATGAGGGCGAAGCCAGTTCGTAGCTCACAAGGCTGAGGTCTAATTGTTTTAGTAGTAACARAAACCTATAAGGGACTTGAAACGTGTAACGATGTGCCAACCGTTGGAATATTCAAATCTAATTCGCCTTATTTGACCTTATTTGGAACAATTAAATTTACCCTATAGCCAATCAGAACGGGCCTTAAATCTCTTATTCACCGACCGAATTTTCCAAATATGTCATAACGTTCGTTTTCGAATTTTTAATGAGCTTTGAATATTCCGACGCTTGGCACTAAAGAAATGTATGGGCGTTACACGTTTCAAGTCCCTTATAGGTTTCTGGTAGTACCATACTAGTTGGACAAAAAAAATGAATGCAATATAAATACCAAAATTGTTTTATTGTTAAAACTTCATGCTGCCTTATGGTTTCAATTGAATTTGCAATTATCACCAACTTTGTTTGACATGCTTGGTAATGTTTGTTTGTCAAGTGAAAATAATTAATTTACTACACGCTGGTGATAGCTGGTTTGAGTGAACAAACTTAAGAGGCAGTCTCTGTAAAAGCGGTCTACTGCATTTCGGGTCAGAAAATAAATTTCTCTCAAACTCCTACCATCAAAAGGCAATTATAAGTATGTAATCACAGTGGCTTTCTTTTTTCGAAATTCGTCAAAATAATTTTTTTACGCCCCATAATCTCAAGACCACCTTCGTCACCTAATTTGCATTGTTCGTCAATTGAAAATTGCACAAATTCAAACTGTCATAGCTCGTAACATATGAAACTCTGGAACAAATTGGTATTTTCTCTGACTTTAACAATCCTTCAGGTATAAAAAGCACGCAAAATTTTGAATATTAAGATAAACCGGGGAAAGAAGAAAAATATTTAACGACACCCACTTGACGTCTTTTCTGAAATACGAAAAACTACCCTTTACATATTGGCTTTTATCTGCCAAGTCCAGAACGGATTTTCGAAAAAAAGTAGTGCAATCTACTCTTCTAAGGATGGTGAAACTGGATCTATAAAAACATTTTGCGCTTTTTATCTGTATCATCTATAGCATTCTCGAACATTTTAGCGTTTATAGCAAAATAGAGCATGCAATATGCAAATTAGTAGTTCAATAACATGTAACTAGACGGTACGAATCACTCGAGTTTTCGCTGTCTGGTGTTAAATACACATAACATTATCCTAAACTCAAAGTTAAACTACTCTATTGTCAAAACGTTGCAAAAAATTCATGTTACGCTGTCTTAGAACCATAGTCCAGATAGTCGAATTGTTTTGATTTTTATGCAAATCACTTGTAAAGTTGCAAACGCATAAAAACTCTTTTTTTTT